CAAGGGGAGAAAGCTTAGATTTCGTCATCCTCCCCCTACGCACCCACTTTTGAGAGAGAAGAGTTGCGACGATTGTTGTATGGATTCGGTGTTGGTTCGGATGACCGGGAACGCGGGATCTTGCCCGTGTTCATCACGTACCTCCGGTCGTCTCATTTCGCTMYCGACCTTCCCCATCATAGATGACGACAGCGTCTACTGCGATGCGGACGTACGGCGCGCGCTCAGGCGGWCGGAGCAAGTGTGTTGGCAAGACCCGCCTCGGGCTTGTGAGATAAGGGGGAGCGGGTTTGTGTTGATTGACCACTTTGATTCCCCGACTCTAATATTGCCTTATACGGGTTTAACGGTGTTGCCCTGGTYGGCCGCTCACGCCGCGYGGCGGCCGCAGTTTGATTGTCGTTGGTGTCACCAGGGGGACTCGTGTTCGTAGCGACAGCTGGTCCTGGGTTACGAGGGAGCGACACGTTTCCCCGAGCTTTCCMGTAGTGCGGGGGCGCTGCCCRCGCAATTTTGAATTCAGATGCCGGCGAGTCCTCCCGCCGCTTTACCCTCCCGGAAACTTTCGCACGGGCTCTATGAGTCCGACGCCGAGGCTTGAAGGCCTCGAACCAACCACCTCTACAGCAAAAGACCCGAGGGTTCGGCCCCTTCGTGAGGCCGATGACGAGGCCTGAAGGCTTCGAACCCACCACCTATCCCCAGAACCCATGATGGCCGGAGTTTTCGCCGTTTGCCGCCATGGCCTCCTCCCCTTGATGCCTTTTCCCGTCCCGATGCACGACGACAATTCATGTTCACAGAAACCCTTCTGATTTTATCGTTTCGGAGTAATCTAACACCCGCGGGACTTCGCAACGACAGTTCGACTCCGAGAAAAACCTCGGCCCAGAAACGAGAGCCTCTCGTTCCGTCTGGGAGACTCAACCCTTACGGCCAAAAATTCTCAGCCACGCCCCTCCTAAAACTCTGATCGGCGACCCCGTACGGGAAGCCGCGAGGGGGCGTGAGGTTGATATCAGAGCTGATTCGTTTCGGCTCCGAGGTTTTCCTAGGACGATTGCCCTGTTTTAAAGTTTCTCCTTTTTCTTTTTGATCTTTTCACTAGAATTGTCGCATTTTTTAGTAGGCTGGCTCCCTGTGGACGGAGGCCCGCGAATAGCAATTAGAACCGAGCGAGAGGCCGGGCTCGAAACCCGCCTCCCGCGATGGTGGAACCCGGAATCGGAGGTGAAAACGACGGCAACAACCACGCGAGGATGGCCAATCATCCCCTGTACTTTGTACCTCCTCCCTTCGAAGTTCCCATTTTTTCTGAAGATGACACCGATCCTCGCACCTGGCTAGCTGCCTTAAAAGCCCAGGGCTGGTCGGACCAGCTGCTCCGAGAATGAATTCCCGAAAGGTTAACCGGAACCGCTTTTGAGTGGTACGGACAAAACCCCTTCACTAATTGGGCAGCCTTCCAGAGGAAATTTCTCGATGGATTTGATCATATCGCACCAGGTCAATGCCTCCGTTTAATAAAGGAATACACACAGCAGCCTCAGGAGACCTTGGCTAGATATGCTGAACGTTTTACGCACCTAGCCGAACGCTCCGGGGTGGATGAGAAAATGGTACGGACTGATTTCGTCAGAGGACTGTCAGATTCTCGTCTGTGGAAAAAGATCGCAAGAAATGCAACCCTATAGAACATACCCTGAAGGAGCTAATTCAGTACGCAATTAAGTACGGGAAAGAAAATTACGATGTGGGCCTGGACTCAGAATCCGACGAAGATGACCCTTCGGGTGTTCGACGCAATAGCTACTCCGCTACGGCACGACTGTTCGAAGATTGCTTCGGGTTGGGTCCGACAAAAAAAGGCTCGGATCGGAAAGCTTCTTCCTCTGCTTCGGCCTCCCGTCGCTCTAGTCAAACGCAAGGAGGCAGGGGCGAGGAAGAAGTATCCATGAAACCCAACTAGTTATGGTGGTGGCCCCGTTGACGGAGTTTGTTCAAGGTCTGCAACGGCAACGCATAGCCGCCGCACAACGGCAACAGGCGGCTATGGCTGCTGGAGCCCCTATGATAAGACCAGCCGCGGCCGGGGCTGTCCCACCCCTACGCTGTTATAACTGTAATCAGCCAGGCCACCTCGCGAAAGATTGTCCGAAACCCCAAACTCAGGGCGGGCCCACCGGACCTTCCCAAATCCCGCTGGTTGCTCCCACCACTGCAGGACAGGGGAGGGTAGCCACGGTAATGGACACAAGAACGACAGAGATGGTGGCCCCGACGGCCACTGAGATAGGACCCGATGAGTATATGGCGGCAGCGATGTTCGAACCCGGGACCATCGGAGTGATACGTCACGTCCAACGGATTACCGAGGAAAGCGACCTCGGGCCGTGGCGACGAGGATTCGAGGATCTTGCGGTACCTGGTCCTGAATACAAGGATGGCCATATCGACATATTGGATGCCTTGAAGGCTCTGGATCTTCGAATCCCTGTCCCTATTCCATATCTGCTAACCATTTCCGAAGCGGCTAACGAAAAGTTGATTGAACGGTGCCTCAAAAACAGGCGCCGATTCGAGGAAAGTCGAAAGGGCAAAAGGTCGGTCCTACGAGACCCACCCACTAACGAGGAGCCACAACCCTCGACCTCAGAGGTGCACGAAGCCAACCGGATAGGGATGCTCCAGACCGTAGGATTCGCCTCGGAAAAACCCGAGGTATTCCTCCGGGCCTATCCTATAACCTGGAAAAGGGTAGAGTGTGACTGTGAGGTCTGGGGAAACCCCTCGGCCGCCATCCTAGACTCGGGATCATCGGCGGTCGCCATTTCTTGGAGATTGACGAAACAGTTGGGAAGGGAAGGACAGGTTCAGCCCCTCCGGCTGAATGAACTCTATATATCCGCTACGGAAGATAGTATTTATTGTAAAGGGCGAATAACGAACGTGCCTATACGGGTGGGGCGGGTGCATTGTTTTTGTGACGTGATCGTGTTGGATGGACAGGCGAATGATGTTTTGCTAGGCATTTCGTGGCAAGCGGCGGTCGGAGCGCGAATGCACTTTGACAACTTTAAGGTGGTACTCACATCGGCCCACCCCAAACCCCAAACGATACCAATGAGACTGGCGATGCGCATGCGCACCCAGCCGGCGCCTCGCCTCACCACGAAAGCTCATCAAATCAACATGATCCGACGCCTGTCACTAGACGAAAATGAACCCTCGACGGAAACTGACAAGACTGATGTACCCGACCGATATCCGATCCGAGTTCAGGATCGGTAGCGCCATTCTTGGCGGCGAGAATCACTAGAAATAGTTTGGACGAGTCCAATTGGTCGCACGCATTCTCCTCCGTGGTGCAGGGGAAACCCCTGCTGAGGGTGTTTCGAATAGCTGACCTTTCGGAACCCCTTGCGTCCCTGTATCTCAGGACGGACCCCCTACCTGAAAGATTTACCGAGCTGAGGGGGCTGTGCGATTTATCTTTTCGACCTCCACGGCCCCTACTCACGATTGAAAAAGTCGTGATACTCCWGAAAGAGGGGGTGTCGTTTCAACCCCGAACGAGGGAGTATCGGTGGGGACCGAGGGAACTSGCGCAGGCCTTTTCGGTCGAACCCTCGGCCGAACCCGAACTGGACAGTGACAGTGACATGGAAAGCGAGCCGATGAGTCCGGCGGACAGCCAATTTATTGCGACGGTCCTCTCGGCGAAAACCGACAACTCTTTGTTTGGGGCCTCGCCCGATGCCAACGCGGCGGTCTCCACGGTTACGACGACGGTCTCCTTTCCTGGGAAAACCGTAGAAGTTCAGTTACCAGCCCGTGTTCCGGATGAATACAAACGCCTCCTCTTGGCGGTTATACGGGCCTATCCTGAGGCCGTCAGTATTCAGGACCACGACAAAGGGCTAACCCCTTTGATACAACACGCGATTGACACCGGGGATCACGCCCCGATACATTGCCGACCGTACCGATATTCCCTTAAAGAAAGGCAGCTGGCATTGGAAAGGGTACGGGAATTCGAGCGGTTGGGGTGGGTCGAACCATCGCTGGAACCATGGTCTTTTCCCGTGGTCCTCGTGCCAAAACGAAATGGCTCAGTTCGGGTATGTATCGACTACCGGAAATTGAACGCCATCACTACCAAAGATGTGTATCCCTTGCCGCGAATCGATGATTTGTTAGATGCTATCGGGGCCGCTTGAGTCTTTTCCAAGTTCGATATCCGACACGGTTTTCACCACGTCGCAGTCCGACTGGAGGACCGACCCAAAACCGCCTTTGTCCTGTTTGAGGGCACGTGGCAATGGGTCCTGTGTCCCATGGGAATTTGTAACACCCCTGCAACGTTTCAGCGGGCCATGAATACGGCCTTCGCAGAGTTCGTTAACAAAACTCGACTGACCCAGCCTCTGATCAATTTCTGCGTGATTGTGTACATGGATGATATTTTGGTCTTTTCAAAAACACACGAGTACCACGTGGAACACATTGAGTGGGTTTTACATGCACTGAAAGATGCGGGGTTCAGAGTGGCCTTGGAGAAAAGCGAGTTCTTCTTGTCGGAGATCTCATTCTTGGGGTATATCGTCACGGTCGACGGACTAAAACCGGATCCGAGGAAGGTGGCAGCAGTTCAAGACGCCCCGGCGCCAGTCACACTCACCCAGGTTCGGGCTTTTCTAGAGCGGGCATCCTATTACCGACGCTTCATCAAGGGGTTCGCTGGCATAGCGAAGCCCCTCACGAATCTGCTGAAGAAAGAGGAACAGTTGATCTGGACGCCGGAATGCGAAGCGGCGTTTCAGGCGTTGAAGGAGGCTCTGACATCTGCTCCTGTGCTGGCGCGCCCCAACCCGACAAGACCGTTCGCACTGTACACAGACTGGCAGCCTCAGGCGATATCGACGGTGCTGACTCAGCACAGCAAGGATGGAAGGGAGCACGTCATTGAATATGCGTCCAAGACGCCGAGCCAGGCGCAGGCTAATTACGAAACGTGCAAAGGTAAATGCTTGGCGGTGGTGTGGGGGATTCAGCATTTTCGACCGTATCGGTACGGCCAGAAATTCGTGCTGGTAACGGATCATCAGTCGCTGCTGTCCCTACGCAACAAGACGGACTACACGGGGACGCTGGGCGGGTGGGCGGTGCGTCTGCAAGACTATGACTTCGACATCCGCCACCGTGCCACGCGGCAGCATGGTAACGCCGATGGATTAACGCGCCTTCTGCCGCCCAACAAGTGTCCCGTTAACGAGCGACTCATCTCGTGGAGGCCAGAAGTCGAGGCGACGAAACCACACTACGGGGAGCTACACGTGCTGCGTAAGGACGACGCCTGAGTCCGGAATGGAGGTTTCATCGAAGATGGCCGACGTTATCTCTCTGCCCCCATCCCACTCTCTCGCTCTCTCGTCTAGCCCCAATTCGTCCTCTGAAACACACCTAAGTCCCTGTTTCTTCTGTACCTTGCCTATGATCCCGGACCAAGAAGGGTCACATCCGGGAGGGCCCTGTAGTCAGTATGATATGGTCAAATCTCACGGACAGTCCGTTAGGTACCGAAGTGAAAAGATGTGGGTCTGTCCCAACTGTAGAACGGACCAAGTCCCTACCGAGAAGCGGTATCTGGACGCTAGAACAGCCGACGGATTTGCACCTAGTGCCCGCCGGCCAGAAGCCTGGACCGAACTTCTGTTGCTACGGAGACTGTAAGGCGACTCGTTGTCAGAACTTACCAAAGTCGAACGGCGGAGAGTCACGGAGCGGGCGCAGGACTATCGCCGGCAGGGCCCGACGTTACAAAAACGGAAGGTCGATGACGACGGAGAGTCTAGCTGGTTGACGGTTCCACACCCTCTTGCTAGGTTCGATTGGACACGAGCCGCTCATGAGGAGGATGCGGTCCATTTCGCGGTCAAGTACATGGAAAAAACCATCGAAAAGAATGAATGGTACTGGTCGAGAATTCGGGAAGATCTGAAATACATCGTTCAGAATTGTCCGGCCTGCGCGGCGGATAAGGCGCCGGTACAGATGCTTCGGACGATGGTGCCCACTCGTGTAGAGCGCCCCTTTTCAGAGGGTTAGCATCGATACGACGGATGTCAACGTTCCGAGAGGGTCCGTTGATCAGGGAGAACTCAATGTCCTTTTAGTGGCCGTCGATCATTTTTCAAAATGGATCGAGGCGTACCCTATGACCAGCCAGAATTCACAGGAAGTAGCCTGGTACGTAAATCGATTTTTGTGCATGCATCTAGACGTAGAAGAGGTACACATGGACAATGGGTCGGAATTTCAAGGCGAAGTAGAACGTCACCTAGTCAGGGCGGACGATAAGATTATCTACTCGCCGGGGCATTGGCCTCAAGCCAATGGCCTGGTAGAGAATGCCAACCGACTGATTAAGACGGCCCCTAGACGGAATATCACTGTGGGAGACACCCGACCCTGGCCGGTCACTATCGATCACATTTTGGCTGTTTATCAGGCTACCCCACACGGTAGTACTGGGGTGTCCCCCTTTCAACTGAGAACCAATAGTGTCCCTCGGGTGCAATTGTCCCCCTTAGTAGGTACGGAAGTTAGAGCAACACGGACCCAGAANCGGGTGCAATTGTCCCCCTTAGTAGGTACGGAAGTTAGAGCAACACGGACCCAGAATCTAGACAAGGCCCGCCACTACATGGACTTAATGGCTAGGGCCTATCCCCCGTTAGCTCGCCGTCGACAGCAGGCCGTAGATCGGACACATCAACAGCAGATCCGTGACTACGAGAATCGACACGCGTCGGCGGGACCACTGCCCCGCTATAAAGTTGGGGACTTGGTGCAGGTACGAAAATCTGCGCGTTCCTCCAAGATCCACCCGCACTACATAGACATTTACGAGGTCACGGAAGTTGGCGCACAGGGACGGCACTCCGTGAAGCTGATTCCCCGTCACAACTCCCAGGCCCGACCGCTGACACGGCACGCTGCCGCGCTCCGGCCCTTCCAGCCATCGCTAGGTCCCCTACGGACTCCCGCTCCTGCGAGATCACCCTCACCTTCTTGATCCTCCTCCTCTTCCTGATCTGCCTCGTCCATTGCTGGCGAGAGTTTCAGGGAGCAGTATGAACCATTGCCAGCCGGAGCATGAGCCCCTCGAGCACTTCCAGACGCCGCTTGCAGATCGCTTGTTGCGGCATCGGTTTAATGAGGAGAGGCAGTTGCGGTACGACATCCAACAGGTGAACGTGCCAGCGCCCGGGGTTGCTGATTTGGCAGCGTACTCGTTGCTTTGCGATCGGCTGACATATGCGGGAGTGTACGTGGTCGTGACGCAGTTGCCTGGCCGGGAGACGACCCGAGTATTCATTGAGTTCCATGCGCTCCAGGTTGCACCCAACTTCGTGCACAGCGTCGCCACCTTCATCGGTGACTTGACGGTCCTACCGCAGCAGAATCGGGAGCCGGCACGCAGCTTTGTGCACGAATACGCGGTGGAAGCGGCCAGATCAGTGGCCAGAGTGCAAGGACGGGGGGGACACCGATTCACAGCCCACAAAGTGCTGCTGCGTAGGGCAGAGGACGAACCGATTGCGTTGGTGCCGCAACTCCCCGCGCTTCTCCCTCCCTCTGCTCCTCTCAACTTCCAAGCTATTCCCCTTGTCCCGTACTAAATGCCTCCTTTCCTCTCCTACACCACCCTCCTTTACCAGCTCACGGAGGGCCCTTACCCCATGCGCGAGTTCTCGCAATATTTGGTGGAGCTGATTGACATGGAGCCGATGCCCTTCGTCGACGAAGATGCGTGGGAGTTGCACCGTGCGCTGTACAAGTTGGTGGCACTGGGGATGTTCCGGTTCTTCGTGGATCACGAAGACCACGCTATCGGGGAGCACTTCGTCGTTTACTACGTCATCGCGCGGCCCAAGCCAGCGGAGAAGGGACGGTGGCGTTGTACCCCTTCGCCCAGCTCCAGACAATCGATCCGGGATTGTTGGAGCTCATACATCTTGAGCTCCTCTCCATTGCGCAAGTGATTGTGAGCGAGGAGGAGGAGATCCAACCCCGATTGCGGACGGCAATGGCCCCGCGGAGAATGTACAACGCGGTCGTCATCCCGGATTACATTGCGCTGCGCGTGGAGAGATTGGAGGACTTCCCGGAGGAAAGGCCGTTGCATCCTCCCTCGTCGTATCCTCGACCAGCGCCACCGAAGGCCCCCAAGAAGACGCCGAAGAGGAAGAGACGCCACCTGTCGCCAGGAGCGCAAGGCAGCAGGATCGGTGGCGGCGAAGAGGTGATTCAGCCCGCGTGTGCGGCGACGCTCGTTAAGGAGACTATCGTGCCATCGCCGCCCATTCCGCGTGTGCCCGATCTCAATCTTGATGGAGTCGGGCCATCATCAGCAGCAGCAGCCGGAGGAGGAAGCCGAATGGGATTTCCGGATCCCATATCCAGACTTCCCGTCCTCGCGGGACCTCTCCGTTCCCTCCAGCCACCCCGGGGTGCCCTGGTAATTGACATTAGTAGTTCATCTGAGCCGGACGGTCCATCCGACCGAGGTGGACTTCATGGTGGAGACCACAACCATCTGGCTCGAGGCCATCGTGGGGGCGCCGCGCCCTGATCCGGCGTGGGAGCTAAATCTGACACCCCCTTTCCAAGGGTGTATTGCGGCGCGATTGGCTAGGACGCTCATCTACGAGACCGGGCAACGTCCAAATGCGATGTACCACTTCCGGGTCTTCGCGGCGCAGAAGCGGGAGCAGCGACCTTACACGGAGACTCATGTGGTGATGTCGGGTCCAGGGCCTGGATCGGTGCGCAAGCGGGTGGTGCGAGCGTTAGCGGATCTGGTGCCACGTGTCCTCTCACATGTGCCGGGGGCTTTCCTTTACCCGTCATTCGTCCAGCATCACTTCCGTGAGGAAGATGCGCCGTCCTCATCTTCCTGTTCATAACATACAGTAGAAGACTGTCGTGTTAATGAAAAAATGGAAAGAAAAAAAGCAGGGTGTAGCAGGGGCCTGGGCTTCGGTGCCCCCGAAATCCCGGGCTACCACCAGCAGCCCCTGGCAGGCAACACTTCTGATCAGTGGTTCACAATGGACCAGAGATTTGTTAAGGACATGGAATTGTTGTATAATGGGAAGCTGGACGCGGTTTCCAGCAGGTGATGCTCCTCACCAATAGACTGGAGCTTCCGGCGGTGGGCTGCTGGGAGGTGGCGATCGTACAGCATAGTCTAGCAGGCCGAGGCCGGTTGTGTATTCTCCCTCTCTGCCTAAGGTTTACTGGGCAGCCTCTATTTATATATATATATATATATATATATATATATATATATATATATATATATATATATATATATATATATATATATATATATATATATAAGAAACCATATCTATCTATCTATATATATATATATAGATAGATATGGTTTCTTTCAGAACTGACTGACAATCCCCTCTGCCTCAATGATTATTTGTCGCCTTCCTGGCAGCTTCCTACAATGCGTGGATGCACGAAGCGGCAGTGTCTCTCTCTCTCTCTCACACACACACACACAAATTCGCAGGGAAGAGAAAGACATGAACACAAAGCGGAGGAACGGCGACGAGCGAGAACGAAGAGGGCGGCCTACACTCACTGTGGGATGCTAGACGGCAAAACTCCAAGCAGCGGGACAGGAGGTTGTTCTTCACGCGCCTCTCCGCCGTGCAAGCAGCTGGAGACGAGTGTCTACTGCCCTGCAGCAGCTTCTCCGCGTGTCAAGAAAAATAGTG